CCGGCCAAGGACTAGCCAAACCCCCACAACACCCTCCCCCCTCCCCCACCTTTCACCACTTTCTCAGCGGTTTTGGGCTGCTCTCGGCAAGCGCAGCAAAACCCCGTTCTCAGAAAAAAAATAAAAAAATCTGGGACACTTTTCAGGCCACCCGGTTTTGCCGGGCGGACCCCCCCCGGTCCGTCTGGCCCAGGCGGCGGCCTAGCCCAGGTCCAAACCCAGTATCACACTGTTTATTAAACTCAGAGTCTCGAATTGTCAGGATAACCTCAGAACTACAGTGCGCTGTCAGAAGTGAGCAGTGCTTCACTCCCCAACCCTGAGTAACCACTCGTAACACCCCTGAGCCCCTGAAACATCAAGCGCCACCCAATTACTTCCTCCAGAGGACAGCGCCACCTTGAAACAGGCCTCTGACGCCAAGCGCCGCTCAGAGGGTGAAGAAGAAGACCAGCGCCACAGTATCTGATGATGATGAAGGGTCGAAAGACTTCCTGCAGCAGCGCCACCACTCCTGACAAGATGACCTCTGAGGAAGAAGCTGCAGCTATGGCTGCAGCGCCACGACCCTGTGACCCCACTATGGAGGAGGGTCCAGCAGGGCACCAACTTCTCTCGCCTCCAGCAGACCTCGAATAACCCAGACCTCTGACAGCCCTGCGTGTTGACAGAGTACAGCGCAGGTCCCAGCTATGGCCGGCGCTCCGAAGGTCTGGCTATGTTTGTCTCCCACAACGCTGAGCCGTCACCACTTCCGGTTCACGCGTAGCGCAGCAGCAATGTACTCGGTACCAACTGCCAAAAGCCCTGAACCAATGTGCCCAACCTATTTCTAGTCTACTCTAGCCTAGACTCGACCTAGACCGGACTGACTGACCGACCGGTACCGTTTCTATTTCGGCCTCTAGGGCCTCTCCCAACCCGGCTATAGGCTATAGGACCGTCTATCAGCTTAGCCCTTTAGGGCCTGTCTGTCCTAGGGGTAGCCCGGGTCTCCTATTCGCAGTTAGGATAGCTGTAGGAAATTCAGTTAGTACGGGCCTGTATTTTCCCGTATTTACAGATATGTCCCTCACGAAGTTTCCTTACAGGCAGGTCACTCGGTTAGCCCTCAGCCAAACAAAATTACGAATCTGTCCTACCTATGGTACAGCCACGACAGAGAGAGGCTACAGGCGACCAGAAACAGAAAGTCATTTCACTACCATCCAGTCCACATAGTATGACCCACCTCCAGTAGTGGCACTGTACCACCCAACCCACATAGTATCACCCAGGCCACATGATACCGTCCAGCCCACATAGTATGACCTTGCCCAACCCCCATGGGATCACCCAGGCCACAGAATACCCCCCAGGCTACACAGTGCCACCTGGCCGTGCCGGGGGTCGTGTTGTGCCTGACATTTGCTCCATGTGTTTTTGTGGCTGCGTGTGTGTTAGTGCCATCCAGTCCCCCATAATATGATCCTCCCCACATGCTGCCAGCACACTCCACATGGCACCGCCTGCCCCGGATGGTATCACCCAGGCCACACATAGTACTGCCTGGCCGTGCAAGGGCAACTTTGGCTGTGTGTGGTTTTCTTTTTTTTCTGGGTTGGCGACGAGTCAGTCCACATTCATCTGGAATGTTGAGTACACAGAGGCCCATGTTCTCGAATCGAGAGGTGACTTTATTTTTCCTTTGGCTAAGGTGGAAGCAGGAGGGGGGCGGGATGGCTGGAGCAAAAGGAGGACGGCATGGCACAAAATGGAGGAGAGGACATGCCAGAGGAGGGGAGCAGGAGCGGGGAGGAGGAGGAGGAAGTGGAAGCGGCAGAGGAGAACACAGCACGGGATGGGGACGCTGCCAAGGGGGAGGATGGGGGAGAGGGCCGGAGAGGTCGCAGAGGACGGCGTGGAGAAGGAGGTGATGGAGCAGCAGGGAGAGGAGGGGGAGGTGGGGGAGGTGGTGGAGGTGGTGGAGGTGGTGGAGGTGGTGGAGGAAGACGAAGAGGAGGGGAGATGTGCGCCAGGGCCGAAGCCACAGCGGGCAACCGCTTGTTCAATCAAAGGGATAGTTTAGCCGTTTGTATTCTTATGCCCAATAGGATGTGAACTCATGGCCTGATTATTCTTAGTTCTTGCCTTTGGGTGTGTAGTATTTAGCCACAAAGCAGGTACCACCAGTTCTATGCCTTGTGGACAGTCATGCAGACTCCAAAAGACAATGCTATCACCCACATGATCGCAAAGCGTGATTCATTGAAATAGTCTTACCTTCCTTCCTCACTCGAGAAAATTGCTTTCTGTCCAGCCATGGTTGGGACTCTTCCTTCCTCTGGGCAGAAACGAGTTATTTCTGCCATCGTTATTGTTTGAATATTTGATCAAATAGTCATTCACTTCCACCAGCCTCCTCCCTCCTCCTCTCCTGGCATTGGCATCGAAAACAGGAGTGCTTGACTACTGATGATTTTCAATGCTTCTCATCGAACAGCTGCTGTGATCAAGGCTGACATCTGACACCCGACAGACTCACCTTCACTGCTACGGTCCCTGCCACAGTCCTTCCTCGGGCAGCTGTGTTCGATTTGATTGGCTACCCCCTGATAATGAATCAGCAGAAACACACCGAGAGTGCAAACGCCAGGAGGGGAACAGACTTCAAATTAGGAGTGCCACTTGCCACGGCATGAAGAATTCCTTTCAACTTACTGCAGTCCCTCTATTTCCGTAGGAGCCCAGTCTTCCAGGGCAAGGTGTGCCCTGACCATCTTTCGCGCGCATTAGGCCAGGAAGGTTGATCAATACATGAACTATTTTTCACTGGTAGGGCCCATTTTCTACTCTTTCCCACTGGTGTCCAGATTCCCCTGCTCGGCAGTCTCCTCGACCTCTGTACCCTGGAACCTAATCTGTGACATCCAGTGCAGTAAGGAAGCAGCATAATCAAAGCTGCAACTTAGTAAGTTGAGTGCCTGTACGTGAACCTGATCACGAGCTTCATCAATAATCTCCTGCTTGGCATGCACCTCCTCAAGCAGCCTCAGCGCCGCCTCCTCTCTTTCCTCCACATCATCACTCAACCCTGAAACCTCCCCTTCCAGCTCTACTAGTCTTCCCCTCAGATTCCTCACAATCCCCTGCAGCTCCTCAACTTCCTTTTCTCTCTGTGCCACCTCAGAGTTCCTGTCATCCCCTTGCTGCGCACGTTCCTCCTCTTGCTTCCTACCGCTGATAGCCCCGTCCAATCTTCTGGAGATCTCTTGCAAGCTTTCCCGCAGTTGTGACTCTGTTTCTCTCAACTCTTTCACCTCCCTCTCCCTGTCTGTCCTTTCCTTTATGATTTTCAGCGCTGCTTCAGCCAGCTCTTCCTTCTTGCCTGCAATCTCAGCGCGCAGTTGTTCATTTGCTGCAATAACCTCCTCCACACTACTCTTCACACCCTCCATCTCTTTCATTTCCTGTGATTGCGCTGCAGAAAGTGATGCATGTAACTCCTGTCTCTCTTTGTCAACTTCTCGCAGCCTCAGCTCAAAAGTCTTCACCATATTTCTGAGCTCTTCAACCTCTTTTTCTTTGACCTCAATCTCTCGTCCACAAATCTTTTCGTCAGATATGGACTTTGCTGACAATTGTTGACTGTCTTGGCCACCCTCTAGAGATCTCCTCCCCTCAAGACACTTCACGGAAGTCCTAAGTTTAAATACCTCAATATCCCATTCGTCCTCTCTCTCTCTTTCCCTTGGTTGATCCTCAGAAAGTGATGCCCATAGTTCTTGCCGCTCTCCACCACCCTCCAATGGTCTCGGCTCCAAACTCTTTACTATATTTCTCAACTCGTCCTCTATGTCTCTTTCCAGGGACTGCTCTCCAGAGAGGGTTTCCCACAGCTCCTGCCTCTCTCGTTCACCATCCAACAACCGCTGCTCAAGATTCTTTACCAAACTTCTCAGCTCATCTACCTCCCGTTCCTTGACCTCTATCTCTATATCCCATGACTGCTCCCCGGAGATCGACGTCCATAGCTCCTGCTTCTCTCTTTCTCCCTCCAACAACTTCTTCTCAAGGTCTTTCACCTCATTTTTCAGGTGCTCTACCTCTTTTTTCTTGTCATTCATCTCATCCTTCAACTTTTCACCTTCCTGCCTTGCTCTGCTCAGCTCCTCTTTCAGCTTCTCCTCCCGCACAGAAAATCCGGCCACCAATCCCATAAGCCTGTGATTTTCCCTCTCCTTGGCCTCCATCAGCAATTTATCTTGCTGCATCTTCTTCTTCATGGTGTCGATTACCTCCCCTTGTTCATCACATAAACACTGCACAGACACTAGAGTTTCTTTTAGCTGAGCTTCCTGCTTCTCTTCTCCCTGATCTAGCTGTTGGCGACTTTCTGAACCCTCCTCTCCCCTCCCAATCAGACCAGACATAACCTCGGGATCCAGGACAACCTTCTCCATATCATTTCCCTTGCTCCTTACTGCTTCCGGCTCCTCTTCTTCTTGAATCCTCTCCCTTCCCCCGACTTTAGAGCTTTTCAAGTCATCTAGCTTGTCATACATCCGCCTCCTTCCATCTTTTGTCCTAGCTGCCTGCTTTTTCACCTGGGCGACCTCCATCTGCGCAGCTTCCTGTGCCATAGTAAGTTCCTGCTCTCTCTTCTCTGCCTCTTCTTCAGCCTCCCTCAGCACCTTCCGTGCTTCTCTCTCCACCCTCTCATCCCATTCTTTCCTCATTGTTTCAATCATGTCCTTTGCTGCCGCAATGTCATGAGCCTTGCTCTCCATTTCCGTTGCCAGGCCCTCCACTAAAGTGCTCTTCTCCTCTTGCAGTTTGTTTACCATTGTTTGTAGCACTGCCATTTTCTTTTCCATTTCTTCCTTCACCTCTTCCTCCCTTATCTCTCTTCTCTGCCTTTCCAAAGCAAGTTCCTCTTCCAACCTTGCATTCTCCTTCTCAAGAACCATAACCATCCCGCTTCCCTTGTCTCGTTCTAACTCAGAATGCCGATATCCCTCCTTTGTCTGTAGGGCTTGATTTTCTCTTTCAAGCCTTGCCTTTTCCTCTTCGACTTGCCGGAGAAGCTCTTCTCTGGACTTTACTCTCCTCCTCTCGGCCACAACCATTTGTTCCCTCTCCTTCAGCTGTTTCCGCAGCCTTTCATTATTCTGCTCAAGTTCTATCACCTGTCTACCTTTCATTTCTGCTGCCTCCTCTTCCCTCATCCTTCTCTCCATTTCTTCTGCTAACATTGTCTGAAGTTGAGCTCTCTCTTGCAAGTGCTGCCTTCTCTCTGCATTTCTCTTGAAAGCATCATGTGGACTACTACTTTTGGAAGCGTGTCCATTCACATGGCAGTTCTGCTCACGCTCTTTTGATCTCCTCTTCACAGCAAATGATGGTCTGTAACTCCTCCAATCCCTTGTGGAAGGCCAACCAGCTTCTACTACATCTCCTTCGTGCGCTTCCCTCCTATTGCCAACTTCCAGCCCATATGCATTCACAAGGCCTACGTGTCCAGAAGAAAAGCCTGAGCTTCCACTATTCCGAACCATTGCATGAGAATTGTCTTCTGAAAGACTCCCTCTACATATCTTCGCTCTTGAGATTACTTGGACCTCTTCACCGTCACTGCCATTTGAGTCTGATCCCATCTCCATCTCACTGCCACCAGTGCTATGGCAACGCCCATTTAGGTCATTGTTCCCATGTTCATTCCATTCTGTGCATCTTCCATGATCATCATATTTTCCTCCACCTCCTCCCTCCCCCATTTGTTTCCCCCAATTCCTGTGACGGTCGAGGAGACTACTCTGTCTCGATCCCACTCCTAAAGTTTCCATGCCGCACAGTCCGCATTCCCTCTTTGTACTTGTTCTTTGATCCCAGAGCCTGGCAATTTGCGGAGCCACATCTTTGTCATTCACTCCAATGTGCATTGCACTGTAGATATTCCTCCCTCCCCTCTCTTCATAGGGACCATTCCTGTCACAATCCTTTGGTAATGTGATGTCAATATCCTCCCTCCCAAGGGAGCCTCCAATACATGCAGGGGAGTCAAGCTTCTGCTTGCTCTCTCCAGACAATCTCATCATGTTTTTTCTCTCTTCACATAATCTCATTCCATCAGCCTTTGGCGTGCTGCTTCCTGAAGAAGATGTGCATGCATCCAAAGAAGTGTCCACTCCTACTATCCCCGCTCTGCCACTTCCTCTCCTGTTGTCTGGCCTGTAACTCTGGCCATTTCGTGAGCTTACCGGATCAAATTTCATCCAGCCGTGGCCTGTGGACATACAGGAGCCCTCACAGACTGCCATTGGATCTTTATGTAAGACTTGTTGTTCACCTCGGTGATTCGTAGCTTCCGCCTCCTCCTCCAGGAGGCTTCCCCTGGCAATCTTTGTGAACGCCAGGAGTTCACATCCCCTTCCACTATGAATGCCATTGTCCAGCTCTCGTTGTCTCTCATACTCTTTTCCTCTCTTTCCAATGCCATCCACGCAGAGATCACCGAGCACATGAGGGTCTTCAATGCTCGAGGATTTTCCGTGATCAAGCCCTCTGTTTTTCAGTACTTTCATGAACTCCCTATGAGCCATTCCCACAATTGAGTGCTGACATCAGGCCCAGATGTGATGCAGCATGGCTCCCCCTGTCAAACCAACATCCCAACTGTTCTGCAGGTGGACAATCCACACATGGCTCCACTCCATTGATGACTTCATTCCTGGACACCACGATGCACCTCCACCCAATGAACCACCCAGCAGCAGCAGCAGAAAAAGGATGAGAAGAGTTCCGGGAGGTGAGAAGTCACAATTCTTCTTCTTCTTCTTCTTCTTCTTCTTCTTCTTCTTCTTCTTCTTCTTCTTCAAAATAGCCAGGATCATAACCAAGGCCTTCATTGGCCACAACTGGAGGAGCATGCCACCTTGCTTTCACGCCCTCCGGTATAGACCAAGCGAAGCCCTTAGAAAATGGCCAAAGTGTAGAGGACCAACGTGTATGCAACAAGCACTCTCTGTCCGTGAACATGACTGCATGCATACACTTAATAAGATAGTTGGGCATTAATGAAGGACGCCTATAAACACAAGAGCTGCCTATTGCACCACATATAGTTCATTCATCTCATAAAATGCGCGTAGCAGGAATACTAGGCAAGATTGATTTCATTTTGGATGGTTGCTCATCAGGAAGGAACCTTGACATTTTTCCCAGCATGAATTGACACTTGCCTACAGCAGTGATCCGCCAACCCTGTGAAGCCCAGCCCGGAAGGGGCAATCATTTGCAGAGTGCAGAATATCTCTACCCCAAACAGACCAACAAATCAATCCCAGGTGATTGGAGCACTGTGGGTTGTATGTATGGGTGCACTTCACATGCAGTACGGTGCATCTGCACAGAAAGTTGCCTCAAATACAGCTTTAATGACTGGGTGTTCTATTTGGGTGAAGACGGCAGTCTCGTCAGACAATGATTGACCAATATGATAAGTTGCATAGATGCACACAGGATCTTCGTAAAACAATTGATTGTGATGAGCTCATTGGAGGGTAAAACCACAAGTACGCAGGGGATTTTCACTTGAAGGTCCTGAAGCAAAATTTCCCATCGTCATGCATCAGACCCACTGCAACAAGCAATAAACAAATTCGCAGAGGATTGGTTGGGCAGCAATCAAGGGGGATGGATGGCACGTATCTGCTGGGAGGGGGGACAAGTGCAGGGGCAGGAACGGGATGACTTCCAAAGAGATTACTGCATACACTTTACCGATTGGACCAAGATTGACCAGCGGATTCCTCTTCGACCTCCCACAGACTTCCCTGACCCCTTCCCACCCCACCAGCTGGCAATGGTGGACATGCAATGGTATGGTGCGGCATGAACAGACGTCGACGTCAGCCTGCTGTATCCTGCTCGGCGGCAGGGAGAATACATCGGCAGGGGCGGAAAGTAAGGAGTCAGCAGGGCAGCTTTTCAGAATCTGGAAACAGGGGGAACCAGGATTGGAGAATAAATACTTGGGACCCGCCCAGTCGTTTTGCTCTTCAGAACTCGGAAGTGGGGGGAGCCAGGGAGAGAAAGTAGATATCTGGCGCCGAGTGTAGGGTGAAGAGCCCCCCCCCCTCCCAACCTCCTGCTCAGTCAATCCCCTGGATCCCAGGGTAATCAATGCTGGCAGGATCGGGATACATTCTTCTCATGATGATCGGATGTGAATTGAATTCTGTCTATGTAAGGGACGCTGGACCCGGTTTCCAGCAGGTGTTGCTCCCCACCAATAGATGGAGCCTCCCCTAGGTGCTAGCGGTGTCTGCTCGTACCAGCACTGCTAGCACTGACGGGTGTGTTTAAAAAAAAA